AGAAGCGTTTAACGAGGGACCGGCGGGGCGCCCACTGAATCATGTTACCGTAAACCGGAGACAAAAAAAAAAGTCAGTCTCTCCTGTCTGTCCAGATTTCCGAGTTTTTATGTGTGTGTGTGTGTGTGTGTGTGTGTGTGTGTGTGTGTGTGTGTGTGTGTGTGTGTGTGTGTGTGTGTGTGTGTGTGTGTGTGTGTGTGTCCTTTCTAACTTTCGAACCGGATTACCTTGCATCTGACTTGGTGAAGGATCTTGACAATAACCAGGTCAATGCCCAGCGTCACGGTCACGGGTCAGAATCAGGTGTGTGTGTGTGTGTGTGTGTGTAATAAGGCAGATAAAGGTTGTCATGACCTACACTGGTGACACAGACGACCACAACAATGGTCCAGCTCACGGGTCAACACAGAGGCTGTCTTCAGTCTGTGAAGTGTCTACGTTTATCTCACATTTTTTTATACAACAAATGTCTAGATCGAGTTACTGATTGTTAGCTGATTTTTATTCGTGTTTGTGTTTTATTTTGCGAGTTTTGGGGATATTTTTTATCGTTCAGAGTATTTCTGTGTTCAGCCATGACAAAATACATTCTTGACTATAAAATATTTGAGTATCAGGAATGTATGCGTCATGGTGAGCTGCCAAGTGTGTTAAGTGACACGCTAAGAAATAAACCAAGTTAGTTCAGAATATATTTGTGTGGGTTTAAAATAAAACACGGATATACTGCGCGGTCTTGCTGAGAAGAGAATAATTTAATGCATTCTGAGTGTGTGTTGTGTGTCCTAAAATACCCACGTCATGGTGACCACTCAGGGTGTATACTTAACTGTTCCCGCCGCCTCACTCCACATACCTGTGGCCTTGTGCACCTTCCTGGCCATTCTTAATGCTATGATCATATATATTTACTGTTCACTGGGCTAAATTCTCCTCTTCGTTGTTGTTGGAATATAATAATCTTATTTTTATTTCAATTTTGACTACATTAAATCTGTTGCATTATACAATTCCTTGTTTGTCTTTCTTTTTATTATACGATGGCTTAGTACTTTAGAACAAGCAATAACCAGCCCGTTGTCTTCGTCAGGTGGGTGTTGCAGGTCTTAAAGTCAGAGAAAGTTGAGGCCCTCTCCCACTCCCTCACCCCATCCCACCTATACTCTTTTACATAACAAACAACAACCTCATACTTACAGATTATACTTTATTTTACAGGTTCTCTAATGGAGGTTTTCTGTAACTTTCTAATTTTATATCGTACGAGGCGAAGCGAGGCGAGACGAGGCGAGGGGAGGAGAGGAGAAGGACAGACTTGCCGGTGCTTGACGTGACCACAAAACAGCTCCTGAACAATAACACACACACACGTCCCGTTATATACCGTCATGACCTTCCTCACCACAGGCTCACCATCCCCCGTGTGTTACTATGACGACCATCTCTTGTGTGTTACCATCTACCACACTAAAGTACGCCTCATGATGATAGTTATAACGTGAACTACACAAACATAACGATGCTTCAGGAGGGAATAGAGTGGCAGGAAATTATAATCTGTTGTAGAGTATTCGTCTGGTACCCGCGATGCTCTTTTTTTTACTTGCATTTTCTTCTAGGACGATCAACAAAGGCCAGGCGAAGCATAAACAACAACACGAAACAACAAACAAATCCGTTCTAACCACGCAACCAATCAAATTTACCCTGAGATAATTTACCGTAATTTGGCTGAACTTGTGTTGCATCACGTCCTCCAAGTGGTTGTCTGTCGGTGGCGCGAACTAAATACGTCTTCTCTCTTATCCTGGGAAAAACTGAGACCCAAGTTTTTGTTGGCCTCCTGCACATTGTTAGAGTTTTATTAATGTATGTATGTCTGTAGGGGATATTTTTCGCATGATTGGTTATTTCAATAGTGTAATAAATCTGAAATATGTACAAACTCCTAATCTCGTCATTCATTCTGAACTTGTCTTAACATCTATATAATAAATACCGAGGGGGAGCGGCTGGCTGTAGCACCACTGGAGGCCCTCGTGGTCTCCAGACTCAAACGGTGATCTAATCGACTCGTTCCGGAAAATCTCCCGGCGTGTCATACGGGAGACTCTCCGCCAAGCTAAGAGAGGTCAGGGGAATGGGGTCATCTGCTGGCGTAGCGTACGTCACTCACCACGTGCCTCCCACGCCACACTTGACACTCTTCCTCACCTCCCCCACCCGCTCCCACCACTAATGTCACAACAGAATTAAGGGTTGGAGTTATCGAACACCAGTCAACTTTCCCTCATCGGTCTGATTCCTCGATGGTGAGTTTGTTTATGGCGCGTCTACTGAAGCTTGTCTTGTTGGTGACTTATAGGCGTTGAGACCTTCTGCACTGCACTAATAAAAGCTGTAGGAAACCGACGACCATGATAGTTTTACCTCAAGTACCGGGTTTTAGAGTTGTACATGAGGGTGAGGTGTGGGGGGGTGAGGGAGAGTGGCTGGACTGCGGGGTGTGGCGGCGGTGAGTGGGTGGGTGGAGACGCCGCCAGCCGAGTGCATTATAGTGTTCATGGCTCCTCACCGATCTTCATACTCTCTGGCCCATAAAATACTCAGTAATCTTACCGACCATCCAACTTGTGGTAAAGGTATAACTCCACGTAGAAGGATTTAGGACGATAGAGTAAAAAAAAAAAATCCCAGAAATTTACGAGTGTTAGCTTCTCATACGTAACGGAATCCCTCTACCGACATTCCCTAACAACAATGACTTCATCACATATCCCTCTCAGATAAAAGCTAACGAAATGTATTACGAGATTCCATTGGGAGTAAAAACGAGAGGTATGTGTACGTGTGAGGGCGCGCGTGTGCACCAAACCAGATCAAAAGTTCAGATGTTGTCTCCTCAGCTGTTGCGGCGTCACTCCCTGCAGGCTGGGCGGGCGCGGATTCTTACGTTCATTGTGTCATTGTTTTCCCCCCACGAATGAGGATAAAACGACGCATCTCTTTACGGTCGTCCCCTGGCAGCCTCGGGGGTAATATTGTCTACTCTTAATGGTGTATCTTGGCTCTAGAGTGAACCATATACACGAGTGAACCATAACAGACGCCAGGTTTTCACTTCAGCTCTAAAGAAGGAAAACAGTGGCGCCAGTCTATGAAAATCCGGAGGCCTCAGTTTCCGCTCCGCTTCTCGCTGTAACGTTATGTGCTGTACAAGTACCTTGCTAATTACTACTTCCGGTTATGTAGTTCCCCCCACCTTGTTAACGTTATTTGAGGCTTATTTGTTATTTAATTTTAATTGCTCTTTTAACTTGTTTTGGGGATTTTATTTTATTTGTTGATGAATGAAGTGTATGTGTATGTATGAGTGTGTATATGTAGCTGTGTTACATGTAGATCCACAATGGAAACGTGGACAGGATAAATTTCGATAAAACCACACAGGAAAAGGGAAACAATGGAGCACCTTAGCTTTCGTCTTTATTCAAGACATCTTCAGCTACCTCTGAAGATGTCTTGAATAAAGACGAAAGCTAAGGTGCTCCATTGTTTCCCTTTTCCTGTGTGGTTTTATCGAGATGTATCTGTGCATGTGTGTGTGTGTGTGTGTGTGTAGAGAGAGAGTCAGAGAGTTTAGCAGTGAGCTGTGTAATGTATGTGTTCCAGTTTCGTGTATATAATAGGTATGAAATCTGTACATGTTGTTGGGTGTAAGAATTCACTCACACACACACACACACGCATGAACGACTGTGTATCACGCCATGGAAACTCTTCAACTTGTAAGCTAAATATAAAGAGACGAACAAAACCACGCTAAGAATCTTCACCGGCGTTCTGATGGTCTCGCAACACGACATAAAAGACTGACTGAACGTTTCATGAATTGTCGGATGATCGTATTTGATGCCAGACGCGAAATTATTATTATTAGCAGTAATAGTAGTAGTAGTAGTAGTGTTGGTTTTATTATTATTATCATTATCTCTCTCTCTATCTCTCTCTCTACAGTCCAGAACATGACAGTGAAGGGCACCAGATATGGATCACTTCCCGCTGTGAGAGAGAAGTGTTGAGATCTCCAGCAGGTGGTCGCCTCAACACCTCCCTGAGTCACTGGCTTTTGTCTCCAGTACGTGTTGATAATTGTACGTATGATGGGGAACACAGAGGTTGATGAGTGATTGGAAGAATGATTAGTAGGAAGGATGAGTGAGTGATAGGAAGAATGATTAGTAGGCATGATGAGTGAGTGATAGGAAGAATGATTAGTAGGCATGATGAGTGAGTGATAGGAAGAATGATTAGTAGGCATGATAAGTGAGTGACTAGAGAGGAATGATAAATGGATAATTGGAAGAATGGTAGAAAGAATGACAAGTATACATATGACTGGAAGAATGATACAGGATGATAATAAATGAACACACTGAAAAAACACGATTATAAAAGGTAAAACAAAAACATGAAAAAAGAAAGAAATCTCGATGAATGAAACAGCAACAAGAAGGCCAACTTGAATGAATGAAATGAATGAATGAATGAAGAGAACGTATGATAATTTGTCTTTTATTCGAGTAAGACGATTGATAAACTGATATAACATAGAGAACAGAATGATAATTAACCAGACGAGGGTAAAGTAGTGGATAGAGATAATTAGGTAAAGATATAATAATAATACACATATAATCAGATATTGCTTAGCCATTGGACACAAAATTTTCCGATTATTATAAGAAATTGTAAAAAGAAAATAGTAATGAATTAACTGGAGGAGAAAATAGGTAGATGGGGTCAGAAAGCAGTGAGGGACAAAAATAGGGAGAAGAGGGAAATTGGTGGATAAATTAGAGGTGAAGGAAAGCAGATGAGGGAAAACCCAATCAAGGAACAGAGAGAGAGTTAAGATGTTAAGTGAGAAACAGAAATCAAAGTATTCAGAGAAAATATCAAGATTTGATGGGTAACTTTAAAGAAATTAACCCACTTACCAGGACTAGAAGACGCGGCATGGTGTTAAGGAGTTGGGGGCGTCTCCTCTGGTCCACACACACACACACTACAGGGATCACCTTTATTAACTACTTGGGGTTTATTTTTCTTCTTCAGTCTATCACAGAATCTGGTGTCATTCACATTAAAAAAAAATCAATTTGTTTTACGTCACTTCACTTGTCGTTTTCCCTCGTGAGTTAAATACGTGTTTTTTTTTCTACAGAAGGAAGAGGAGGTTCTTCGAGGGCGGTGCAAGAGGTCGGGAACGGTACAGAGGGAGGCGGAGTAGCTGTAGCGTCAGGTATGGTTGATGAAGGTAAGGTGTGTAACGTTACGTCCGCCCTGTGACGAGTCTGCACCACTACTGACGGGGGAAGCCACGGTGGAAGTGGGCCACCGCAGCCATCCTGCTGCTGCTGCGATGGTGGTGGTGGTTCTGGTGGAGGTGGAGGTGGTGGTGGTGGTAGTGGAAATGGTGGTGGTGGTGGTGGTAGTACAGTAGTGGTGGAGGTGGTGGTTCTGGTGGAGGTGGTAGTGGTGGTGGTGGTGGTGGTGGTGGTGGTGGTGGAGGTGGTGGTGGTGGTGGTGGTAGTAGTGGTAGTGGTGGAGTTGGTAGTGGTGGTGGTGGTGTGGAAATGGTGGTGGTGGTGGTGGTGGTGGAAATGGTGGTGGTGGTGGTGGTGGTAGTACAGTGGTGGTGGTGGAGGTGGTGGTTCTGGTGGAGGTGGTAGTGGTGGTGGTGGTGGTGGAGGTGGTGGTGGTGGTGGTGGTAGTAGTGGTAGTGGTGGTGAGTGGTGGTGGTGGTGGTAGTGGAAATGGTGGTGGTGGTGGTGGTAGTACAGTAGTGGTGGTGGTGGTAGTACAGTAGTGGTGGAGGTGGTGGTTCTGGTGGAGGTGGAGTGGTGGTGGTGGTGGTGGTGGAGGTAGTGGGTGGTGGTGGTGGTGGTGGTGGTAGTGGAAGTGGTGGTGGTGGTGGTGGTGGTAGTGCAGTAGTGGTGGAGGTGGTGGTTCTGGTGGAGGTGGTAGTGGTGGTGGTGGAGGTGGTGATGGTAGTAGTGGTAGTGGTGGAGGTGGAGGTTGGTAGTGGTGGTGGTGGTGGTAGTGGTGGAAGTGGTGGTGGTGGTAGTGGTAGAAGTGGGTAGGTGTGGTCGTCGATTGGAGCTCAGAGGCAAGATATAACAGCTTAAACCTATGTAACGTCAACACACACACACACACACACACACACACACACACTAATCTAAAACCTTATTACATCTTTTTCAATCATTACTAAACATATAAACACAGCTATTATTAAACACTACTATGGTGCCATAAACATCGTAACTCAAGCTCCTTCCCCAAACCACGACGAAGATCTTGCTCAGGTGAAGGTAAGGAGGGTAGGGTGGATAATTAGAATACCTGGGCAATTAAGGTTAGGTGAAATTTACAGGTATGTATCTGAACACAATGTCCCTAGAGCCAGGATGGACACCGAAATATACGGGAATGAACAGAGAGTGACCAATAGGAGTGACGACCAAAGGAGGAGTGACGAGTAAGGGGGAGTGACAACTAAGAGGAGAAGTGACAACTAAGAGGAGGAGTAACGAACAATGAACAACACCTTAGATAAAGTTAATAACAATGATGACTTTCACATTCAATAGGAAATTATCAGTGTTCCGTCTTCTGACTGTGACTTAACCGAGAGAGAGAGAGAGAGATTTGCAGTATAATCCAAATACAGTTTAACTTACGGTGTTGATGTGACTCATGAAGGCGACGGCGACGGAGGGGAAGGGCTCCTCACGATACAATGATGATGGTGATAATGAAGTAAAGTGGTACTGACTTTGCCATGAGAGAGAAGAGGAAAAAGAGAAGGAAAGAATAGAAACGGGAGGTAAAATAATAGGGAGTAATAGCAGATGGGCTGTCCACCTAGCTGAGTGCAGGTGATTGGTTGGGGTGGTGGCCATACACAGCACGCACGTGCTCGCTCAGGTGAGGAAGGGGGGAGAACTAAGCTAGGTAGACATTCATTAGTGTAATGTGTGGTCATTTATGTTAGTTATATGATGGTGTTATTTGTTCACATATACAGTATGTATAAAGTGGGTCTTGTTCTTCTGTGTTAGCATGGAGGCTCTTGGGCCACCAACTGTGTGTTTTTGTGGTTTCTTCTTTTAACTGGGAAAATATTGGGTACTCCAACTCTTCAAGTTTGCTCCAAACTCTCTGAGCTTGGCTGTGTGTACGTGTGTTTAGTGGTTCGATATTGTATAGTTCGGGAAGTTCTTGTACTTCGGTGGTGTATGGGGGGGGGGGAAGTTGCTTTGATGCTCTGCGGAAGCCTTGTTTTTTACTGATTGAAGTTTAAGTTGGCTGGTTCTGCTGATCGTGCTGAGTGGTATTGGTGGATACTCCAGGTGGAGGCGGACAAGTGCTTGAATAGGTGTAGTTGAATTTTGGTGACCATTTTGCTGAATCTTCGTAGAGTAGTTTTGTGAGTTGTGACTGGGCAAGCGTTTGGCGTTGTGTTATGTGTTTTGCTATGCCCGTTCTTGTTATTATGAGTCCCGGTATTTTGCCTTCGTTGGAGTATTGTATAGGTTCGTTGTTGACTGTGATTGGTGCTGGGTTTGTTTTGGCAATGTGAATAATCTTTAGTTTCTATGTATTAGTTTAAATGTTCCACTTTTTTTCATAATTGTTTATTTGCTCGATGGCGTGGGCTGTTTTTCGTGCCATCCTCTGTTTGGCCTTGCCTGGATGTCTGATGATTTGGGTGACGTCCTTGCATAGGCTATTCTCCGTGGGTAGTAGGTGTCATGTCCGACGTGTATATCGTGTAGTGTGTTGGCGAGAGGTTATTTCCCTGTGGTACTCCGCTGTATAGCTTGATGCTTGGGCCTATGTGGCTACCAATGATGATTTTTGTCTCTGTTATCAAGGAAGTTACAGAGAAAAGAAGTGAAGTTCTTGGGGAGTTTTTGGTTGGTTATTTTGTATTTGAGCCACAATACAAAATCTGGAGGTTAATGTTATATATATACCTCATCTCACCTTCCGGCAGCTTTTGTTGACGCGTGATGCGATTTCATTTCCTGTTTTAGTAGATTTACTTTCAACGTTGCTCGGTCAAAAACAGGCCTTGTGATTAGGGGATTCGAAGTTCCAACCTAACCTACTGCTGTAACTTAAACGAATCTTAGGTTAGTTTGAATTAGGTTAGACTGGGTTAGTTTAGGTTAGGCTGGGTTGGATTGGGTTAGGCTGGGTTAGGTTAGGTTTCATCCTCACACCTTGACACGCAAGACCAGAGTCCCGTTTGTTGAGAGTTAAATACCAGTGTTATAGCGTGGGTGATCCGACTGAGGCTGTCTGCTGACGAATACCTTGTGAGCCAGTGACTATGTGCGTGAGGAATGTGGTTCACGAGTTCACACACACACTACCTCTCGTGAGGCTCAGTCCCAACCCGGCGGAAAGTTAGGGCCACTATTCTTAATTTCCTTACCTTTCTTTTCACTGAAGTTGACGTACGGTAGTGGAAAGTTTAGGGAAAGTATTTGCTTCCCTTATTTTTGTATTTTTATGTGTCAAGTGTCATTTTTGGGGTTGGTGTGTCAAGTGTCATGGTATAGAGTCAGGGTATGCCTTTGTGTCAAGTGTTATGGTATGGGGTATGTGTGTGTCAGGTGTCATATATGGGGTAAGTTTGTCAGGTGTCATATATGGGGTATGTGTGTCAGGTGTCATATATGGGGTATGTGTGTCAGGTGTCATATATGGGGTATGTGTGTCAGGTGTCATATATGGGGTATGTGTGTCATGGTATAAGGAATACATGTTAAATATCATGTTAAGGGGTTTGGATGTGTCACAGCTACTGCCAGGAAGATGAGGAGTAGAAATGTGTCAAGTGATGGTGTCAAGTGTTTCCGGCGGCGTCTCCATCACTATTCACTATAACCAGGGAACCGTCACAGCCTCCGGTAAATGACGGTGATTATCCTGGATACTTGTGTAGGAAACATCCGGTGTTATGGTCGACGTAGGATTTTTTGTTCTTGTAACGTGAATTTATTTCTGCACCTTTACCTGTGACAACTTGTTCCTAAGAGTGTGTTAGAGAATATATAGTGTGTCAGTGCTGTGTTGAACTGTCTTTCCTCAAATGCAGGGAGATTGTTCGCATCCTCTCTTGTAAACACTGAGGAAAAGAATCTATTTAACGCCTCCACTTTGTCCTGATGTGAGTCTGCGTAACTACCATCTGATACGCCCACATATGTCTTTAATTTCGACTTTGCGTAATGGTAAAATGCCTTTTGGTTTGCTTGGCCTCGCTTGTAATCCGCCTTTGGAACACCTTTTCAGTCCTCCTACACTCTAACTGCTTGGTTCCTGGACCTGACTCTGACGTTCAGGGTAGGATTCGCGTTCTTGTTTATGAGCGAGTTAGGCCAGTGAATACCCCTCATCTTGTCCTAACTGGTGGGCGGGTGGGTGGGTGGTGGTGGGTGGGTGGGGGTGGGTGGATGGTGGTGGTGGGTGGTGGGTGGGTGGTGGTGGTGGTGGTGGTTCGTGCTATTTTATGTAAGGAAATAGTAAACATATGAACATCGGGTGGAATATAGCCACAGTGTAGCAGGACTCTAGCAGCTGAGGACCATAACACTTAATTAGATGTCAGACTTGTGTGTGTTTGTCGTGTAGGTGTCGTCCCCACGCTTCTCTGTCGGTGGTAAGTGGACCGTGACCTCGCACACACGCCCTCCACGCCCACAACATGGCCAGAGAAAGTTACGGGCGTGGGAAGGTGAGGAAAGGAGAGGGGGGGAGGAAGAAGAAGAACCGTAGGTGGGGGGTGGTGGGGGGATATGGGCGTGTGTGTACCTGAACAAACCTGTATGTCAGCGAGAAGGACGTTTAGAGCCTACCACCCACTGAAGACTCATTTGGCCACCATGTAAAGCGGGCTACAATATCGTATAATCAAGCATTTGGGTCAAGGCTGATCAACCACAATCTGTCTTTCCAGAACTATTCAGGTTAGGTTAGGTGTAAGGGACGTCGTGGTTATATGTGTCTGTAGTGTCAACATGGGTCGTGTGTACATGCACAGTGGCTGACCAGTCATGTTCAAATATGTTACTTTCATATATAGACACATGGTTAATATTGATTTGTGACTCATTAAGCTGCATAATGTATATCTGGCACCTCACATATGTATAGTATGTCGTACAGGTAATGTCATTCAATAAAAAAAAATTGTTGAGTATTAGATGTTGGGAGTTATTGTTTATTTGGTTGTGTAACTTATGATCACCAACTAAACACCATAATAAATCTTAAGGTTCCTTCACTCA